CTCACAGGACTTGAGTGCATGCAGCAGATACACTTGGCACAATTCACACAGTATGCAATACCTCAGAAAACCTGCCTCTGGAAGGTGCTGCCAGCTGAATTCACAGTAGCCACTGTGACCCTGAGCTGTCTGACTCCTAGACCTTAAATACACCTGAATCTGATACTTAGTTGTCCTTACCAGAAATCCTCACAGACCCTTCTTAGTGAAGCAGATAAGAAATCAGAAATAAGTAATCATGGGTGGAAAGAAAGATGGTAACACACAATTCTCCTCGCACACAGTCCATGGACAAAGGGTGTCAGGAACCCAGGGCTGAGCACCCAAACTCTCCCATGGAAACTCACAGTTTCCAAAGCAGTTGGGAAACCAGCCCTCTTAGGAGCATAGCTCAGCTCCCACATAATAAAACCCTTGGACTTGTTCACTGTGACAACTCCATGCTCCCTTACTTTTCAGAATCGCCTCTCTGGGAACTGTCAAGTATGGTTTCTGGTCACTTCGTGAGCCCATTTACCACTGAAAATAATGCATTTCTGAAGGCATCCTGCTTCTGTGGCTGTGATTTGTCTTTTCTTTGTGTGTATTTGTGCACAGTGTACTTGAATGTGTGCTTGTGTGTCTAAATGTGTGAGGGTGTATGTGCATTCTGGTGTGAATTCACATGTGTGCACACACATGTAGAGACTAAGAGGTGACCTTTGGTGTATTCTTCAGTCACTCTCCACTTTATTTATTGAGGATTCTCTCACTTCCAGCAAGTCTAATTAGGTGGCTCGCTCCAGGGATGTCCTGTTTCTATCTTCTCAGTGCTGGTATTACACGTGGCCTTCAAGTCTACTTTGACATGGTTGTGAAGATCTGAACTCAAGCCCTCACGCTGAGCCATGTCCCCAGCCCAATGCTAAGGTTTTTAATGAGTTGTTTTCTTGTCCCTATTCCAAATTTCTTTTCTACCATCTAAAGATAAAATATTTTCTATCTTCATATGCAAATGAGTTATGGATATAATGAACATTTTAAAACTTCACACCTCTATTCAGCTTCCTTCCCAAATACAAGCTGGTGTTTTTCTTTCTTTACCACCTGCAAGCCCTTAAAAGTTATCGTTCCAGCTCCGATAATCACACCTTCATTTCTTTCCTCATGGCTGTGCTAAGATCTCATGATTAATGCACTTAGTTCATAAACTTAGTGTATCCTTGTGTTATCTTATTTTTGCCAGTCTTCCTTCCTCCTTAGCAACCAGCCCAGTACCCACCCATATGCAACTGTGAAGAAAAATGCACGCCCATCAGCTAATGTGCATTTTCCTGCAAATGTTCCAGATCCTGCGTTTCCTGTACATGCAATAGTACAGATTTCTACAGCAAAAGATAGCATTCATTACACTTTTGTCCCTATGATATTTTCACAGTAGATAACTTTGTATGTGATTTTCCAACTGAGGATATACTTACATTTCACTTGGTGTAGTTACTATAAATTTCCTTATGACATATTCCGACTGACAGTGTACTTTTTTTCCCCACAAACCCAATCAAACTAGTGCCTCATAACATCCTCTTAAGTTTTGCTATGTTTTATTGGATAATGAAATTTTGTTATTGTCTTAATTTACATTTTCATTACTTGTGGCTGAAGTTAAGTTCTCTTGGTGCGTGTATATATACCCTTTGTATTTATTTTTCTGTAAACTGCCTGCTTACTATAGTCTTTGTTCAAAAAATTATTATATTTTTATTGGATTGTTGGTCATTTATGAATTAGCTTGTAAGTATTATTTATACATTAAGTAATCTTAGTTTCTTTCATATTGCTGTAAGCAAAGTCCCTTCCAGAAACATCAGAAGGGAAGGAACAGATATTTTGTTTGCGGTTCTCAGAGGATCCAGTCCACAATAGAGAGGCCAAGCCGGGCTGAGTGCTTGTGGAAGTGGGATGCTCAGAGAGGAGAAAGCTGGCAATTTCTGGCCGTCCCCTGTCCCCTCTAACTCCACCTCTAAAGTGTTAATGCTTTATGCTTTGGGGGTTATTTACAGCCTCCTCCATTTGAAACATGCTCTATGAAGTAGAATTATGAATCCGTGTATCTTGTAATGATTTTGTTTTGATGGTAATATCTACATGTTTGCTCCACTGCAAACTTCCTTCCGTGAGAGGAGACTGATAAGAAATCAACTTTATTTTTCCTCAGTGACTGGCCGATTGCCCCAGCGCCAGTGATTGACACCTATCCCTTATTACATTCTAAACTACCCTTTAGAGTTGAGTTATTACTTCTCAACTCTGCAACCTGTTACAAGACCTGATACTTCATGAAGCAGGAGCAAATTCTGGGCTCTTCTGGATGCACTGAACAGCATACAAAATGAATTTCCTCTCTATTTTTCTTTCTTTTCTTTTCTTACAATAGTTTTTTTTTCAAAAGCCATTCAGGGTAGGATTCTATCCCTTTCTCTCAGATCACCCATCCTCTAGTCCCTACCCCACAGGGCAAAGCACTTAGAGCCTTTCCCATTTTCCCCAAGTCTGTGCCTGACAGGCATTTCAGCCATTAGCTCTGTCACGGGGGCTGGCTAAGTGGAGGGCAACTCTGAGGTACCCGTTGCCATGGCAACTTCTCTGTTGGTGGCAGAAACGTGGACTCCAGCAAGGCACAACAAACATTTTGCTTCATTCCTGTACCACAGAAATGCTATCAGGGGCCAGTGAAAATGGAGACTGTGCTCAAGGCTTTCCTGTCTCCAGGAGTCTTTGCTCTCGTCATTTCTTCTATACTGTAGATTGTTATTTTTATTCTTGTTTTGTCTTGTTTTGCTTTTGAGACAGGATATTATTGTGTTGTCCCGGTTGTGTTAAACTTATAGTCTCAAATGAGTCTCCGGCCTCAGCATTCTAAGTAGCTGAGACCACAGGCATACTCACCATCACACATGACTGTGCTACATTTCTTTTGCCATAGAAATAGTCTCAGGTAGCCAGGCTGGCCTCAAACATGTTATGTAGCCAACGACGACCTTGAACTTCAGATCCTTCAGCCTCCGCTGTCCACATTCTGGGATTATAGGTATATACCACCACTCTTTTGTTAGTGTGGTGAAGAAAATTGAACTCAGGCCCTCATATATGTGTGGGCAGGTACACTATAGATAAGCTACATCCCAACCCTATGTACTGATCTTTCAAGTATCACTGACATTCACAGCCATCATGGAGCTGTAGCCCCACTCAGGGGAGTGCAGAGCCCGCCACAAGACAAGGTATGACTTCTTTCCATAACCCATCATCCAGATGAAGTTTTGAGTCTAACATTACAGGCTTTCTTCTCTGCAGTCACCAATAATGATCCCATTATATATATATCCATATAATATGTATCCATTATATATTCCTATATCCAATAATGAAGCACCAATAATTCTTCCCTGTTTTGAGATATTTGAGTGAATCTGTATATACTATATGACTATTCAGAAATGTACAAAGACTGAGAAGATTCTGGATTCTGATTTGGCCTAAACACAACCACAAAAGACTCTTGAAAGAATTGAAATCTAGGCCCCTGTGAGATGACACAGTAGGAAAAGATGCTTGCCATGTAACCTAATGACCTGAATTCAAGTCACCAAACCACCTAAAGACGGAAAGAAAAAACTGACTCCACAAAACTATCACACTCATACGATGTATACACACATGCACATACACACACGCTCAAATTTTTCAAAAGCAATTTAAATCTTTATCATGTTACAGTATAAGCAAACACAAAAATGCATATAAATACAGGTGCAGTTATGTTAAACATGGAGAATGAAATAACTTGTTTTGAAAGTGCTCCTTGAAAATAAACTAAAAATGATTCTCAATCATTTTCTTGGGAAACTGATCTTAGGAAACTGGAAAAAATGCAAAACAAAAGTAATGTTAGCTGCAACTTAGAAATTATTTCTGTGACTTTGCTTTATGCTAACAGAGACCAAAAGTAATTTGAGTAAACAATATTAAAGTATTGGGGTGTGTGTGTGTGTATACACACGCGTGCGTGTACTTGTAGAGGTCAGAAAAAAACTTGACATCTGAGTTCTCTCCTTCTGCCATTTGTATTCTGGGGCTCAAATTCAGGTTGCCAGGCTTGTAGGGGAAAGGGCTTTTCACCAATGAGCCACTTCAGTTTCACAGTAGACATATTTTAAAGATAAAAACAGTAGGGGCTGGAAAGTTAGCTTTGCAGTTAAGAGAATTTGCTGCTCTAGTATGCGTGGAATTCTGAAAGAATGAATGAACATTATATGGAAAGAAGAAAGAACTCTTTCTAGGCCCAAAATCTAATCAGAAAGTGGTTGGTAACCCTCCTAACACTCATGCTGTAATTTCAGCATTCAGGACACCATGCCTTGCAGTTTTGTAGAGTAGGGCCATTGATAACGTTTCTCCTTCAGTGGCCTTTACTCTGTGAACACTAACCACCTTTTGCAAATGTTTACTTCAAGTACAGGAGTCCACTTTTTTTACTCTGAACTGTTTTATCATATTTTGTCATTCTTTAAACAGAATGGAGATGTCTATTTAGAATAGAAGACAATTTGCATAGTTTAGATTAAATACATTTCCCCTCTCCTTTTTCCACTTTCTCCTCTCTCCTGTCTTTTTTAATAGCTAAATCATGCTCAAGGCTGCTCCAGCTAATTAAATGTCTTTCACACTTTGTTGACATGAAGAAGAGCTCTGGCAGAATTGCAAGGCTTCTAAGTGCTTATCATGTTAGCTTTGTAATGAGGTGTGCCAGAACCAGGGAGGAATCTGTTTGTAGAAAACACCACGCTGACACTTTAGTAACCCAGGCTAATTTGTTTTCCAAAGTCTTCTTTGATGACCACTAATCATTTGGCCTATCCACAAACACAAGCAATTGTCTTTCTTTGGAGATTGAAAGTTTGTTGGGAAAACAACAAAAAAAATTTCAAAAGGTGTTTTAAAAAATAAACAGAACTATATTTAACATGGGGGTTTTATATTCAGTTTATTTTTAAGTCAGCTTTTGAGAAGAAAAGACATTGGATTGATTTTCAGAAAATATAAAGTGCATCATATAAGGTTTCACTTGCAGCTGAAGAGTAATTCAAAAACCAGGACCCAGCTGCATTTACTGTAAAAGACTTAATATGTGTGCAGACTTCATTTTCAAAGGCATTTTAGATTTGCCCATCTTCCCATCCCATCTGTAGTAAATCCAAACCAGGCAGCAGTCTTCAATCTGGGTGTACTCTAGTGTTCTCAGCGACCCTCCTATTTCTGAAAATTTAGGGATAAAAAAGGCCATGAGATAATAATCATAACACAAACACAGGCAGGGTCTATTCACAGGGAGGGCTGTATTCAGTGTCTCAAACTACTAGTTGAGATTTCAAGGTTAGAGCAGAAAAGTAACTGTCTTAAAAATGCATTCTGCTATCTACTCAACTCTCAGAAGACATGCAACAATGACAAAAGACAATCCACAATGCCTAGCCACTTCCAAAAGACCCATTTCTGTACTCCAGCTGTGGTCCCTGAATTTTATTAGAAATTTGCACAAAACAGAAGTCTGAGGAGCCCCCTTGCCTTATCTGATTCTTGTCAGGCACCTAAACATTGCTCAAAGGGGGGAAAGCCATCATTGACATTTAACCTGATAGAAGTGTGAATCTCTAAGTGCCGAGCCATAAATTCCAGACATCCACAGTCTCTCCATACTTGCATAATGCACATAGACGTGTTTCTCAACAGAAAGTGTGAGGGAGTGTAAGGACACAGATCCTCTGAAGACTTTCATCTCATAAACTACACCAATCTCAGACCATTGTCTGGGGAAAGCTGACCTGCATCAGGGAATGTCCTTGAAATACAAATTTAGAGCTTATTTACTGTGATGGGCCACTTTCCTTCCTTCCCCTTCACTCTCTTCTTAAAAGCAGAAACCAACCCATCACTCTACAGACAGCCTGGGCTTCCAAATACTGCTTCGCTTAGATGAAAGCCATCAGGTTTTCCAGCTCAGCCTTCGATACAAGTGATTTGCTCACAAGGCTTGTGAATGTGCAGATCTATGACCAGATATTTAATGAAACCATTGATAGGTTACTTTTTAAGCATTGGAAGACTAGACATACCATAATATGTCTACAAGACCCAGAACTTGTACTCTGAACTGGGTACTTGATTACTGTACAACCCTGTCTTTGTAAGGAACAGAAAACAGAAAGAAGGCAAGAATCTTTTGCCAAAAAAAAAAAAGGAAAGAAAGAAAGAAAAGAAAAGATATGGACATCTTTAAATGCATCAGAATCCTAAGTACACAGTTGTGCCAATATTTTTCCTCCTTGACACGCTCCCTTTACGGATACAAGGTATCTGTGATACCTGTTATCAAGTTGAATTATATTGCATAAAGAAGCACCTAGAAGACTCAGAGCACGCCTTAGGCCATGTCCCTTAGGGCATTTCCGGAGAGAATTAACTAAGAGAAGAAGATATGAATCTGGCTAGCACCATCCCATAAACTGAGAGCCTGGAAAGGAATAAGAGGAGGGGGAAGAGAGAGCCTACTATAGTTTGGCATTCTCTCTCTCTCTCTCTCCTCTCTCTCTCCCTTCATGGGCATCCATGAGTTAAACTGCTCTTCTCCCCCAGATCCTCCCAGCCAGGATGAAACATCTGAAATGAGCCCAGGTTAATCTTTGTTTGTGTCAGGTATGCGGCTGTCACAGCCATGAAAACCTGAGTAACACGGTATCTAAGGAGGTACCTATGGTAAGCACGTAATTCTTTGCCTGTGCTTGCTTAAGCTGCATTTACTATGAATTAGGATAGACTTTGTTCCCTAAGTTCAAAGCGCTGAAAACTTACAATGAGAGCAGTGTCCCTTTCACAACAATAAACAAAAACGGAGCTAAAGCAATGGACCGACCCCACGGGGGCATTCTAGTGAGCAGGTCATTAAAGACACAAATGCAGGGCTTGGGGGGAAAGTTCTCAGAAGGAATTATTTCAGTTCCCTCTCAAGCACATTAAATTAATACGCAGGAATAGCTGGAGGTCAGGACCACCGCCCCACCGGGGTCTCAATTAAAGTTGGGCAACTCAAAGGGAACCATGTATTCAAGCACTCTAGGAGCCTGTCAGAAATGCAGACCCCCAGGCCTGGCCAGGAGTGTCCCATCAGAATCTTAACAAGATCCTCAGTGATCCTCATGCACCTTCCTGAGTTATAAAGCAAAGCACTCTGAAATCAATTGCTCTCCCCTAGGGCATATCAGAGGTTGAAGATGTGCAGTAATGTCCCAAAAGCCCTAAAAATGCCTGGGTTACACCCAGTGTCGCGAGCAGGGTCTCTTATCTATTAAGAGCAAGGGGTTTGAATCCCCCGCGGGGAGAGGAGCGACAGGTCCTGCTCCACTCAGGGATCGTATACTGGATTTGACTGTGAGTTCATCAGCTCCTCGAGAGGGAAGAGAGTACGCCAAGAGACAGAGAGTTTGTGGAATTCAGTTGCTTCTTTAATGATAATGCACAGCAAGCAAACACAAACGCAAATGCTAAGGTTATTGCTACAACAAGATATTGTCACATTTACTATAGGTTGCCTCTAACAATATGCCTAATAAGTTGCTAATAAGTTGCTAATTACCAAAGAAATAAGCATAGCAATAGACAAGTCATTCATTCATGGATTATACGACCTGAGTCCTTATGTTGGTTTTGGGTTACAGGTCTAGAGTCCGGTAAGGCAGGGTCAGGCTGTGGCTTCCAGATAATTTGACCTCGTAGGGTGCTTGACCACGAAGCTGGAGGCGTTCGTTGTCTCTCGGCTTGAAGTCCAAGCGGAGCTCGACCACGAAGTTGAAGGTGTTGGTCTCTCGGTTAATTCTTTGATGACCGGGTGCTGAGGAGGCTTTGTCCGGAGGATCACGTTAGCCAGTCATGGCTACAAGTGTGATGAAGTGCTTCGGACAGGCTCCTCTTTTATGCTGAATTTGGAGTTACTGATGACGTACATGAAAGATAACCACTCGTGTCTGGTTATCTCAGCACAGCTTCATTTCCAGACTTGCCTTTACAAGTACCAGACATGTCCAGACATGTCTTACAAGTTTCCTATTACAAAATGGAGTTGGTCCTGTTTAAGGGCCTGCTCCTTACACCCAGTCATACTGACTTCCAGGGCCTGATCTCCATAGGATGCAAACGCACTTTACAGGGATACCTGTTACCGTGGAACTCAATCCTGCAAGCCATCCGGCACAAACAGAATTCTGCCTCAGACAGGAGCTGAAAAGGGACTTCCTGGATTTGTACCTTTCCCTAGGTTTGGGTTTCTTTGTTCCATCACTTCCTATGGCAGGAAGGAAAAGACCAACCTCAGCAAAGAGGAAGGCAACGCATCACTAAGGAAAGCCCCGCCCCACTATCATCTCAGAGCCCGCAGCTCTCACCACACAGGGAAGCCATTTTGAGTAACAGTGGCCCAGGAAAACAGACAAATTCTATGTTCCGTGGTTTGTTTTTGTTTTTTAACGTTTATGAGTGCTCTTTCTGCAAGTTTACCTACATGCCAAAAGAGGGCATTAGATCCCTTTATAGATGGTCGCGAGCCACCATGTGGTTGCTGGGAAATTGAACTCAGGATCTCTGAAAAAGCAGCCAGTGTTCAACTTACGCACTTAGCCGTCTCACCAGCCCATCTGGTGAAATTCTTAGCTTTGGGGTTGATGGAAGCAAGTGATCTGCTAAGTAAATAGATTCCAAAAGGGTTTTTTGTGTTTTGTTTTTTGTTTTTTTTTTAATATCTGTTAGTCACAAGCTGTTAGTTCCAACACAGAGTTGGGCAAGGAATGGCTATTCTGTCAAGCTACAACTAGCCCATGATATGGTAATTAGCCTCTGGACCTGCCACATTCCAATCTCTCCACAGGACAGGTCAAACAATCAGTCTCTGTAGACCCAGCTTCTTTTCAGGAGTTTTGCTAACACACATAACTCTGCAGCTCCCTGGTTCCCAGGCTCTCTGACCTAGACATTCAAGCCGTGTTTCCGTGCTATAGTAGTAAGCACGGATTTAAGTCAAGAAGGCATCTATCTTCTGATGCGTCTAGGCTATTGTGTCTTGGGACAAATAATTGGACTGGGGACAGATGTAGAAATAGTCTGCTAAGAATGAGAAAGGTACCAGACAGCTCTAAAGCTCCAGGCCTGAGCGTCAATGACCCATTATGGACCACTCACATAGCACTAACCTCCTCCATCACTTGGAAGTTTTAAATTTTTCCTACAGCATGCTCTCTGGTCCTTCTTGTAGCACTAGCAGGAGTAATATCCAACTGGCTTCTTTTATGTACGTTAAACTTGATACACTCCCCCCTGCTTATCACCACAGTAAGATTCCTAGAAGATACCCTAAATGAGGGGACTAAAGGTGACTTAAGCACCTATAGCCACACAGCTCTGGCCTTATCGCCACCCACTCCAGGTATTCACCTACTCTGGTTTAGAGTAGACCAAGATTTAGAGACTAATGAATCTCTAAAACCCAAGCAAGTGTCCGCAACAGTATCAAACAGTAATTATGAGGGTTGATTTATAATCAGTTATACATAGAAGGAAGAAATATAATAAATACAATAAAGTTTATTGCTCATTGCTTTGATGCAGAGATGTGAATTTTTTAAAAAAATAATTAGGACATATTGTAGCAGGCTACAAGTGCATTAATTCTGTTTATACCTAATTAACCTTTATTCCTCATGAGATCTTAGTCAAGCAAGTGGCCTCCATTTCTGCCTCTGGGTACAAAGTTTGAGTATACTAGTAGAGCCTAATTTTTAAGTCAGAAGGCAAAAATTCAAAAATCTCTTCCTCACAGTAAGTGGGAAATTCTTGCCAGCTGGCTTTCACTAGAAACTGAAGATGGAAAATAAAGATGAAGATGATACCCAGAATCCCCTCTTCAAGGCCATGCATTGTCTGTCTGCAAAACATGCTGAGCCTGAGTCTCAAGTGAGAACAGCAGTATTCTCTTTCAAAGAAAGCAAGCCGGCCTACGTCTTCAGCATCTATATCAATAGTCATTTGCTTTCCTATCTATGTTTAAAATACAGTCAATAATGGATAGCTGAAAAACAAATTAATTGGGAAAAATCACTTTCTTCTATAGAATTCAGACTCAAAAAGAGAAAAGATAAGAAACAAAGAGGCTGAGAAAAACAAGGCACAGACATACACATTCTATCTTAAGCACTGCCTCAAAATAACACTGCAATTTAAATTAAATTATAATTAATAGCAGCAGTTTTGTTGAAGTGCCTCAGATCATCACTTTCAATGCTGAAGATCCAGTGGTTTCCATGGAGACATTTTCTCTATGTGATGTCAAATTCAATCATTATTTTTTTTCTTTCTTTTTGTTTCTGACGTATGACAACCTGAAGCTTTTAGTGCCTTTTAGTTGAGGGAGTTTAATGTTAAATAATATTACTTTACTTTTATATGCAGTCAAATGTGGGGGTTTTTGCAATTGGTTTCTGAGACTAAAGTCTACAAATTTTCCTATTTGAAACAGTAACCACTGAAATTATCTTTGTCTTATTCTGCATTCTCTCTACCCACTTCCCTAGACTGATAAGAAACTGGAGAAAAGAATTCAAATATCCTTTCAATATTCTGTTCTTCTGAGTGCATTCTAAAGTCAGTTTCCAGTTTCAATGTTTGCCTTGAATAAGCCCAGCCATGACCATTTTCTTTTTGTGGGCTTGACTCTTGGGGGAAGGAGGTAATATTTGCTACTGAAAGACTGTGGGGGTTTCTGTTCTGCAGTGGTGTTAGCTTAGGGTTCTTAGGGTTGACCCATTACTGCCATTGTATGGAATTTTCTTTTGTCCGGCAAATGACTCTGCTCCATTTTGGAGAAAGAAAAAAAAAAGAATATACAGTCACTTATTTTTTTTCAATGTGTGTAAGTGTTTTGCCTACATGTATACCTGTGCCCCTTTCATGCCTGGTGTCTATGGAGATAGAAGAGGGCATTGGTCTATGAATATAATAATGGAGATGACCAGATGAAAAGAATCTACACAGGAGAGATACATAGAAACACACATACTTCTGTAAGACATTAAACAGAGCAGAAATGGCTCCCTGCCTGGTGGTTGTCATCACATGGTAGTGATTTTGTGCTCTGTGACAAGACACCTGACATAAACAACTGAAGGAAGGAAAGAATTCTTTTGCTCACCATTTCAGATGATTATTCCAACACAGTGGGAAGCCTTAGGCACAGCAGCTCTCAGCATGATGGCCAGGAAGCAAGAAGAGGAATAGAAAGGGCCCAGGAACTGTTGCCACATCTCCAAGGATTCAGTAGCAATGGCCTGTTTCCTCCAGCTAGAGTCCCAGCCCCTAAGGTTTCCAGAACCTTCCCAAATAGGACTAACTTCCAACAGATGAGTGTTTTAGGAGAATATTTTGTATGTGCTTTCATTTGGGGATCCAAGAGAAATGTACTTAGTATAGAATGTATTTATAGGATGCAAGTCTGCCCCTAAGATTCATTAGTGTATCTCTCTCTCTCTCTCTCTCTCTCTCTCTCTCTCTCTCTCTCTCTCT